TCAGACAGAATAGGGAAAGGGCTATCAGGAAAAGGGGGCTCCTTCTACTGTGATGCCAAAGAACTGGAAGGACTTCCTTCGAGTCAATGAGAACAAAACCCGAATATTTGCTTTCTGTCACGCGCAGGCTGTTCCACATTCCTCTAGCAGAAGGCAAGGAACTGTATGCAACAGTTGGAAGTGGGGTCCTGTGCTCTCTGCTGTCGAGTCATCCTTGGGCCGCCTTGCCTATGTTCACAGAGGAGGCTGACACTTGTCCACTTCCGCAATGCTGGCAGATGCTGTGCAAAAGGGTGACCATACGTACCATTGATACTGATGTGGTGGTACTGCTGTGCCTTCATTCTGCAAGATAGCTCCTTATGAGCTGTTGGTTGGCCTTTGGTGTTGGCTCAAGCGTTCGGTACATAGCTGTTCACGCAATGCTTCGCCACAATGAATCCAACACAGTGTCTTCACTCTCCCAGTCTTTTACGCTTTCACCGGAGTGTGACACTGTATCTGCATTCGCTGGCTGAGGAAAGAAGACTGCCTGTGGAAACTTGGAAGTCTTTCCAGCAGGTGACTGATGCTTTCAGTGAAACTCCTATGGCATGCCGAGTGAGGTCAGTGAAGGATCAATGCTATTTGCTAGAGCGTTTTGTGGTGCTGCTGTATGACCGAACCAGTGAGAGCACGTAAGTGAATGATGCCAAGGAAACAGCTCTTCACACAGAATCTAGAACTCTAGAGAACAATTCTTCCAACCCAGGCAGCACTGAAGCACACATCAAGCGCTCTTGCTACCAGGCCAACTGTTGGAACAGGCATTGGTCATGGATCCAGAGATTCCAGAACCATCTGACTGGGGCTGAACAAAGGAAACAACTGGGTGGCAGCCTCTTTGGACCACTCTCCCTAAAGCAGCAAAATCGTGCCATGAATTGATCCACTGTCGCTGCGAGAAAGCGTGCACTGGACGCTGCAAGTGTGCCAAAGCTGCTCTGTGCTGTGCTGTGTGCTGTGTGCTGCGTGTGTGTGACTGTGCTGTGTGTGTTTTGTTCTGTTTTGAACATTACCAATAGGATATTTGAAAATAGGATATTCGACTTTTTGAACGTAATTCGACCTTGACCTTGGCCTAAATGCATGTCCTTGAGTTCAAGCGATCTCAAAGGTATCACCAAATGAATGGTCATCCCCAATTTAGTTGGAATCGACACCTTAAATGTTTTTCTACGCTGTTTGGTTCAAAAATTAAGTGCGTTTCAACACTAAGACCCGGTGGACTGGCGGCCATCTTGGATTTGACCTCTCACGGTCCTCAGAGGTCAAATCTGACTTCCCTCCACATCTTAAAATAAACATCATGGTATATACTAACTATGCTAGAAATTTCATGCTTTTCTCATAAAATGCACAATTGTTGTGGTTATCTGCTGCACTAGTAGCTGCCTTTTGTTTGAAGTATAGGCGCTCTATGCGGTGAATTTATTGGCCAGAGAATAGAGAATCGTGTCGTACGTTTCAGTCTGTATCTCCGGATTGCGGGTGTCTACGAGGAAATGATTTCGTACGATGATGGGCGAATGTACTGTGTCCGATTTGAGCTCAAGTTGGATGAGTTACGCGTAGTAAATCGTAGGTATTATAAGGCTAGTAAATGACGAATTTCCCTTGTTTATTGAAGTCACACTCCTTCCCTTTATCTACTCCTGATATATATATATTTGTTCATTTATTTAAAAACGGTACAATGTTAAAAATGTATCAGCATTAGCTTGGAAACTCTTTATCGTTAGTGCAATAATGAAAAATATACACGTATATAATTTTAAAATGCTAGCTTAACAAGTGCATGGCATGCGACGACGCCAGGCGTAGTGTGTGTACTTTTGTTAAACCTAAAGCATACGCTGTATTTAATGACTGTACAAGGCGACACTTAGCATAAAAACATAGCAACTTATAAAGACAAGTGACATATGCATACGATAACCACACGCATACTAAAATAATAACCGCACAGTGATGCTAAAATAATAGGTCAATTAAAATTTCATACTGAGGAATACATTGTTATGGTTATCAACCAATATGCGTGCAGCACATGAAAATAAAACGTGACAATTAAGTGACGGAGTCATTAACAGTAACTGATATAAGTGCATAGAACAATTACAGTAACTAAAATGCAAAAGAAGATATGTAAATATGAACAACGATCAGGCCCAAAAGTGCGAAAAGTAACAAACATTACAGAAAGGGTGGCGAGAACGAACACAGTAGCAGCTGAGCTGACAACATATATAAAATCAGAGTCCAGTATTTTTTTTTGGGGGGGGGGTTCAACGGTACATCGCACATCTGCAGGATGGACCTGACCACGACCTTAGAAGCATCTTAAAGATTTTGAGATCTGTAGCCCGGCGGATGTTTGTGGTAGTAGATTCAATATACAAGCACCAACATAAGTCGCGTTCATTATTCAATGTGTAGTGGTGACCACCGCTGGGATGAGGGCGACAGCAAAACTCTTTCTTGAAATTGTGAAAAAGCTGCAAAAGGGCTGTAACCTGCTTTGCCACTCAATTATATAATTTAAAGGGATAGTAGACTCTAGGATTTTACTGCATATAACTGTACTTACAGTATAACAAATCGTCTATACCCACACGTATTTGTTACCAGATACATAATTTAATTGTTATAATTAATTACACATCAACGCTACGAAATTTGAACGGCGCCATGACACCCGCGACCGTGCTGCCACCCCGAAAAAGTTGCGTATTTGACAATTTATTTTGCACGTTACAGACCGTGGGCTAATCACAAAAGTGCAATTATATTTATACCTAAATGCTATTTAACCGACCGATATTCATTTTAGGGCAAATTTATCCATATTAATAATTATAACTGAAACTATGTCGTTTATAAGATATTACAATCCTTTTGCTTTTAAATTAATAAATAAGAAACACCCTTGGTCTGTAGCCCTAGGCTGAAGTGGTTTTGCTCAACTTATCAGATCGTGCGCTTTGAGTGGCGCCGCCGTCGTTGTAATCAAACTGTAGTCGTTAGTTTTAAAACATTTTTTAATAATATTTCTAATGGTGATTGAACCATGAAACTTTTTGTGTAGCGTAATTTTAACCTAATTTAACTGAAAATAACCCTAGAACCTAGAGTAAACGATCTCTTTAACCTATGTATCAGGTGACGTTTTGTACAGCCGCGCGACTATATAAAAATATTGTTAGTCCAACAGAGGGGGGTAGCTAGACCAATCCGCCCCTCTAAATCCGCCAATGATGTAGTAAGCTTGTGAGTAGAGATATCTCAATAGACATATGTCGAGATGAGGACCAGTCTACGCTGGATGACAGTGTGAAAATGGTTGAATCAAGAGATCAAAAATTCGTTTAAAATCAAATGGCCAACCTATAAATTCAATGAAAACCAATTACAAGTTTGTAATCTATATCAGTAATTTATTGATGTTTATTTTAAATTTCAGCACATATACTGATATTTTTTTAAATAAAGATTGTCTGAATTGCATATAATATATATATATATATATACAGGAGTGAATAAAAACAAATCATTGTTTCTAAACAATTGTTTCTAAACAATTGTTTCTAAACAATTTTTCAACAAAATTTTTCAACAATTTAACAACAATTGTTTCTAAACAATGTTTCCAACAATTCAAAAGTTGTTTTCATTAGCACCTGCTATTACATGTTATCATGTGGAAAATAACAACGAGTACTTACTCAACCGCACAACTCATATAAACAGCACTTATACTGCACGTTCTATGCGCAATATATTTTGTCGTGTACCATTATAGATCTAACACTTACTTGTTACTTCTCTACAGAAGTAGAGAGTAATAATATATCTAGTTGGCATTAAATACTTTGCACTTAAATTAGCTAAATGCCTGCAAAGTAAACAAGCATCTTTTGATTTTGCTACAAACATGCAAATTGCCACTTATAACTGATCACCGTTGACCTATTCATCACTCACTCAGCCATTACTATCAGACCGTGCATGTACCGTGTAGTGCAGTGTATCATGCCAATCCGTATACTGCTCTAGGAGAAAATAGTAATTCAATAAATTTTATATCAGGTCCAATGAGTAATTATTCCTTCTTTGTCAACAAACCAGGCAATCATGCAAAGTATCAATGAAGAATAATGGCATAGACCTTGTGGGGAAATTTAATAGAGGAACAATTAGTTGATAATTTATTTACCAACAGCCATCATGTCGTGATGACATTCTTTTATATGCTTTTTGTATATATACTTCTTCTCGGGATCCAACGAGAAACATATTTAAGGTCTATTAGTATGATTTTCTGCATAAAAGGCCAATCACTGCAAATCCTATACTGCAGAAATAGGACAGCATGCAAGTACAGTGCTTTTACAAAGCATGTTTTTTCACCACGTTTAAAATACCTCGATCATGACTACCTATGTTAAGGATTGCGTCTTGTAATAATGTATACCGAGGACACCATATACCACGCTGTAGAGCGTCACAGTAACCCGCTATGAGAAGCGAACCTAGTTGGTCACGTCAGCGGATTTACGAGGCATATTTAGGCGGATTGACGCGAGATATTTAGTGGTATAAGCTTGAGCTGTTAGTATGTTTGGACATGTCTTATTAGAATAGAGAGAAAATCGTTGTAAAAATATTCTCTAGTTGGGGGGCCTCAAATATTGATGATGAAGACAATAAAATTTAAACCTTTATTCACAGGAGATCAACACGAGTCTTAACCCATAGACAATAAGAATTAGAAGTGAGAGACTATACCATACACAATATGTTCACTGCTGCAAACAAAACAACTGCTGGCAAGACTGCTGGCAAACAACTGTTAACGATGACATTAGTGTCGTCTGCAGATCACTGGGTTGACAAATTAAAATTCAATTGTGCAAGATGACCAATGAGTCCTGGTACACGCAACGTAAAGTGAAGCTTCTTACGCCGCCAATTCAAAAATATTTAGTAGCTCTATGAATATATTAAATGCAATAACTGCCCCGCATCTCAAATATTAAACGACAGTAGTACTGAACTACTGTACACTTAGTAGTGTTGAAGATCGATCCAAATTTCATGATCGATCATCGGTTTTACAAAATGACGGATGATCGATTAATCATCGATCGACACTCTAACGGACGGGTAACACTCTAAAGGTCATTGCAACATAACTGCTCATCAAATTCAATCAAACTCATATCCATTACATAAGAGAGATGTCTCTCTATGCTATCGAAAAATGTTTCCCCACTGAAATACCAGATTTTCATCGCTCATTATCTCAGCGTATGAGCATCGTAGGGACAAGCGGTTTGGTTTATATTAACAAGGTAGGACAACTGATCCAGAGTACCGCAAAGAATCGTCAAAATAAAACGGGCAAAATTTCTTAATTCGCCTAATACTGCAATATGGTTTCACCATTTCACCATTGTACGCTCTCCTTCTTTATACGCTCTTGATATTATATGATCCCTAATAGCAAGACTAATGTTCACAAGTCTATGTACCACGAAGTGGTATGTGTATAGGTATGTACTTACAAACTGTTTATGTAACATGCTGAAAAAATAGTTTAATAAAAAAGTTCGAGTCGATTTTCTACTCGATTAATCAACTTGGCAGCCCAAACGAGTAATGATCGACGAACTCGATTAATCAGAACACTACTAACACTTAGTAACACTAAATGACAATTTAGACTACCGAAATGCCCCTTCCACCTCACTTGCCAAACGAATACACTGATGCGGAAGAAAGACATCTGAAGGTCACAAATTAAATAATCGATTAATTTACATAATGATTTAGCAAGTGACCTATACAACACACAGACTGTATTAATCAGGTTATATTGTACCACATTCATACATGATATTCACATTTACACAATTGTAATATGTTACAAATTACAGTACACAATCTATTATCCGAATCCCTTGGGACAGACACGTTTCGGAATTCGGAATTTTTCGGATTTTGCAATAGTAGTACAGTACAGCTGTACCATATATCCTGCAACTAGCCAGTACTAAATCCCTAGTTTTCAAGAGACCAAGTGCTGCACCGGTACAGTACAATATGTACGAGTAATGCCAAACACATTAATATTTCTGCAGTGAACCTTGTGCAGCCAAATGCGAGCTTTGGTGGAACTTTCGGTTTTTGGAGGTTTTCGGTTATCAGAATTTCGGATAATAGATTGTGTACTGTATTGATATCTTGCAGTGCACTAGCGCAAAAACTCTAGTGTGCAATATGCCACCTACCCTAACTATGCTTTGTTGAGATCTATATGACAAAGGCAGTACTCCTTTGTATTCAACTTTAATGTTGCCTTGTCAGATGAAAAGGTCACTAATGAACTGGTGATCTTTTATTTACACTGGATCTACTACAATTTACCCAATTTCCTCAAAAGCATGTGACAGTCTGCTTGACTCTCAGAAATGCTCTGAGAATCCATGTGTAGACAACTTACTACTTTGTACAACTCGCAGGCTCAACAGCACTGTAATCAAGACAATAGCGATGGGAGGAGTGCTCCCCGCCTGGTGGCGTGGCCAGATGGGCGGAGTGCTCCCCGCCTGGTGGCGTGGCCAGATGGGAGGAGTGCTCCCCGCCTGGTGGCGTGGCCAGATGCTTCTTTGTTCCTTTGGCAACAATCATGGACTACAAGTGTGTGGTGCCGACACAGCGATCAGACATCGCTGGTGATGTCACCGAGCGCCTCGCCGACCTTGACCCGGTCGCCAGGCTTTTTTGTGAAGTGGAAGTTGTTGGGTGCCTCGAAGATGAGCACAATCGTCGAGCCAAGATTAAACTCCCCAACGACCTCTCCTACATGAAGCAGATGGGGCATTAACGAACAGGTGACCAATACAGGATGAGAGGATAGCACATTTCGGGAATTCTGAGTTGAGGTGGCTGCTATATTGGTCAGTATAGTTATAGAAAAGGAAAGTTATCAGCACAACTCTACGATGAGGAAGCTGAACATTTTTCCAACACACAATGTCATTATAGTAACATGATGAAAACAAGTTCTTGGTCGACCAATATGCCTGGTATGACACCACTTTTAGCTTCACAGTGATAGGACAATGAGCTATCCAGTTAATATATACAGATCAGTCAAATGATGAGAAAAACATAAAAGTGAATGCTTGAGACTAGCATTAACCGAACCAGCACCCATGATTGCAGGATTTAACGATATGAGGGTATTGGTGCTGGATCTGGCCTACACCCTCTACCTGCACAGACATTCCGTGGCCAATCTTTACCAATAACTAAGCCCACACCGTCCCACACTATGGCCACATCAAGCAACGGCTATGTCTTTGTACTGAGTTTAGAGATATTTATCATTATCACCTGGTTTTAGGGCCAACATAAACATATCTTAAGAAATTGCCTGTACAAAGATGTGAAAGTCAAAAAGCGTGTAATTGTGAAGAGAATGCTATAAATTATTGAAATTAGATACTTGTTACAGGTAACCAATTAACACTTTCAAACTAATTTTAACCGCTGGCTGAATCACTATATATTACTAGCACATACCTTTCCTAAACGGCACGCCCGCAATCTCTAATTTGGGATTCTGGAAGTCTTTGTCAAAGTACGTTCCAGCCCTCCAGTGTTTCAGATTTGTATGTAATTCCTAAAACGGAGGAGCACATGACTACATGTAGCAAAAATGTGAGGAACACTGTAGGCACATAGGTAAACTATATATATAAAATAAACCCATTACACACATGGCATACGATACCTATGCAGAGCCTATTTTATATTGTAAATAATATAATATTCATATAATTAAATATATTGCTTAGACATGTTCACACATATAGCAATAAGTTGCTGCACCATGTATGTCTCGCAGCATTTCAACTTCAAGGTTGATGTATTTTTGCATATCCTCCCTCATCAAACACTACTCGTGCTACATCTACTGTTGTATTGTCGATTGTATTCAGACGGATGGCGGCGGATTCGTTAAATAAACAACACGAACAAACGAGACCTTATTAGTAACAGCAGATCTCTATTGCACATGCTCCCACACTAACAACTTCCATTACGAAATGGCTATTACATCCGTCCCCTTTTTAGTATTAAAACGCGTCTGTGGCTATGCTATGGTAGTACGAAACCATGTCAAATGAGAAAACGTTATGATAAATTTCTTTGACAGTTCATAAATAGTCCAGCCTAGCCAATTTCAATGAAATACTCCACAATGTTCAGTTTTGTCTTCTTAAAGCCGCACAATGCGCATCTACACGCTAATTTCTCCAGTACTAGACTAGCAAATACTTCGTGTCATGGATAATCACACTACCTTATGACAAAATAAACTCTAGTTCCTCCCATTTCACTGCGCGTTGTCTCATAAAAGGTATTTGAAAATACCTCCAATGTTGTTCAAATACTCCGATGTTGTTGACAGTTTCCCCAAGCAACCGTGCAGCGGTGCTGCGGTACAGCAAGCGGTACGGGTGTAGCAAAGATAAAAACTTGTGACGTCACCTCACCACTTCGAGGCTAAATTGTTTGGCAAACAGTCGGCGTTTGCGCCAGAATGCCAGTTTTCGCACCTCTTTCTTGTGGGTTTTAAGCAAACGCGCAGTGAAATGGGAGCAACTAGAGTTTATTTTGTCATAAGGTAGTGTGATTATGCATGACACGAAGTACTTGCTAGTCTAGTACTGGAGAAATTAGCGTTTGGATGCGCATTGTGCGGCTTTAACAAACTCTGTTAACTGTCTAACAACGTCTTTTTACCGTACACATATTGATGTTACTTGGCATCGTAACAAATGGAATCAACAATGCTCACAGAAAAGTCATTTTCACAAACACTTAATCACAACAGTTTAGTTAAGGCCAAAAGTAACCTGCAGGGTATTATTCTGCCCCTATTTTACCAGCAAGGTCATTTCTCCCCTTCCATACCAGTCTTAAATTCTCGCCAAAACTTTCAAACTGCGACCACTCCTATGGACTGCTTGTTTTGCCCATTGTTTCACTATCCTGATTTGACTGTGATCGACTAGGAGAACTTCCTTCAGCTTGATGAGGATCGCTCGTCAGACTCGTCTTTGTCTCGTCCATAGTCCATAACTGGTTTCATATTTAAGTCAACATTCTTAAAGCATGAGATTTTCTTCAATACATTTTCAGACACAGTGATCATGGGGCCTTTCCTGTTCACGACAGCCGTTGGTAGCGGTCTGTAAGTTGGTTAAAGTTGATCTCTTCTAAAGTTGTGTTTGACCATAACCTACATTTCCTACTTTGATGTCTTTGTCAATGGCAGGATACTTTAAATCAGCAGCTGGTTTTATTTCTAAACCACTTTCCAGTTTTCCTTGGAACTTGATGACACTTTGTCTCTGGTTCACCCATGAACATTAGTTTGTGTAGTGATCGTCCCGTGGATATATGTGGCATTGCTCTGTACTGGAGCAGGAATTTGAATATATCCTGTTTCCAATTCAGCTGATTGATGTGTGTTGCTCGTTCTGCTTTCATGATTAGCTTGTTAGAACCTTCAGCTTGAGCGTTAGCTCTCAGGCATCTTGGAGGGATTCTCCGGCATATAAAATCCATGTTCTGAGCATATTATCGAAATGCCACAGAATTAAACAGGCTTCCGTTGTCAGTTTTAGTAATCTTGGGTGTCCCAAACATACTAAGAACTTTATAAAGAACTGGAATCTTGGCGTTTGCTGACACTGATCGTATAGTCTCTAATACAGGGTAATGGGAGCACTCATCCACGACTGCTAGCAAATAGTCACCAGTACTCAAGGGTCAGCAAATATCCATGTTCAGGTTTTCCAACAGTCCAGCGGGAAGTTTAGACATATTGAATGGAGCCATGTTTATGGGCGCTGGCGAGAGAAACTGACGTAATGTACACTGTCCTATCCTTCTCTCTATTCTTGCAACAATCGTTGGAAAAATTATAGAATGAATAAATAGTTCATATAATCAGTTCAACACTTCAAAGTACTGTGAGCTCTACAATATTGATGTCACACTCACCACTGCATCTGTTTGATTACATATCACCTGTCATTTCTTGTACAGTAAGCTCTATTGCTTTTCGTAATGTTGTGTCACCAAGACTAGTGTATCTTACATCATCCAACCGTATAGCTCATGGTGAGGATTCTTTGGCAACAAACTTTATATATGCTTCTCCAATTTTCTCCTCCTGTAACTCCATGTCTGCAAAATTTACAGGGTGTCAGGACATATAGTCTGCAACGTTGTAAGTCCCTGTTCATATCAGATAGTAAACTTGTACGGTTGTAAGCGTAGGCCCCTTCATTATATCCTTAGCAGTAGTCTTGGGTTCTCCAATATCTTTTCGAGTGGCTTGTGTAAAGATGTGTCACGGCGATCGTTCACTATTGTGAGGTGTCGCAACCCCCTGAGGGAAAGGTATGTGAAGTTAAGGTGTTCGCATGCCCACACTGCAGCAAGAGCTTCTCGCTCGACTTGACCATACCGCGACTTGAATGGATTGAGCGACTGCCTGGAGTAGAACACTATCCTTTCTTGCACTAGAATGGCAGATAGTTCCACATCAACTCTCACTTCAAGTAGCTTACCAGGGTCACAATATGCCTTCACAGTGTCACCTGATAGTGATAGCTTGTCCTTGAAGGTTGTAAAAACATCTTCAGAAAGTTTGGTCTAGATCCATTCCTTGTCTTGATGAGTAAGTTCACGTAACGGTTCACAGTCCGACGTGTAATCCTTGATGAATGGCAAACAACAATTCCCCCCCCAAGGTCAAGGAAGCTCCTCATTTCTCTCACTTTCCGAGGCCTTCTAGATTCCCTGATTGCTTTCACTTTCTAAGAGTCTGGTGGTATGCCATTCTCACTAAAGATGGTGACTCCAAGTAATGATATGTTCTCATTCGGAACTCAACGGATTTTTTTCTTGTTTAGAGTGAGACTGGAATTATGTAGGCTTTGTAAAACTTCTCTAAAAGCTTGGTCGTATTCACTGCAATCTTTTCCATGGTCCAGTATATCGTCAAATGTATCCAGTTTACCTGAAATGTTCTGCACGACTTGCCGTATCATTTTCTGGAATACCCAGGATGCCGATTATATGCCAAGATTTAGGCGTTTGTAGCGATAAATACCGAGGTGCGTATTAAACGTCGTAATGTATCTCGACTCGGGTTCAGGCTTTAACTGATGATATCCACAACACAAATTTAATCTCGTGAATAGTTTTGACTCGTTGTGATGCCTTTGTTTATTGTTGGCATTACATGCAATTCATGCTTCATCACTTTATTGGCTTCCCACATGTCCACATACCCAGGAGCAGATCTTGCTTGTCTTTTTTGGGGGTGTAACAATTTGGGAAACCCACGGAGTGGGCTTTCCATCCACCCTTTCAATAATATGGTCAACTATCAGTTTGGCTATCTCCTTCTTTATTTCAAGATAAAATGTCCTCTTTCGGGATTTCTCTGCAATGAGTCATATCTGGGTGAACGTGAAGCTTTACACGGTATAGTGTATCCTAAGATTGGCCAATATTTTCTTTTACCTTTTACTACATGAAACTCCAGAACATTGTATTTTTTCATGGTCTCGACCCCTAAATTACATGTTCCTAGTACTTTGAGAGCATCCTTTGCTCAATGAGGCACCAATCTACTCCTGTTCTTGGTTCTGTTGAGGGTAGGCCCTCCAATTTTCTTGTAGTCTGACTCGTCAAGAATATACACTGTGAGGACCCACTGTCAATAGGTAGTCTGATATTTGTGTTGTTGACTTTAACCAATGTATGGACCTTTGACAGCATGTACATGTTTATCTCTGTCATTCTGTGTTGCATATCTTATACCATAGCAATAACTCTCATCGCTATTAAATCGACATCTGCCATAACCACTAGCTTGAAGCCACAGCCCAAATTTTGTGAGGTTTCTCGTTGTTTGGACAAGCCTTTACCTTCGCGAAGTGGTTGGGTCCTTAACAAGCATGACAGTTTTGGCATTTTGCAAGGCATGGCCATCTCCTATGCGAAAATTGGCAATTACAGTTCCAACACTTTATAACTCGCATGGGACAAATTGGTGTCAAATTGTTGTTGGGACGATTTGGTGTTGACAGGTTTTGACATACTGTGACCTCAACCTCGTGGCACTGAATTTCTGTAGCCAAACTTATATTTATGCGAAACAGAATTGACACACCGACCTGTGTCTCTGTCTGAGCTCTGTTTCATTGCGGACAAGGATATTACATCAACAGTAGCCTAGATTCACCTGTCTGGCATGACTGACAAGTACCTCTACTAATTATTACTACAATGTGACATTTTAAAAGCAATGCTTAGTACTGTAGTGTAGCGCTTCACTTGTCATTTTGGTGAGCAGACATGCAGGTTCACACAAAAACTGGTTGAGCTTTACTGACCAATAAATATTATATAGGATGTGGGAGCATGGTTATCTAATGCAGACAAGACAGGTTAATCAGCACACAGGTCAGTGGCATAGCAGCACTCACGTAGTCACTGTGGATTCTAATGGAGCCAACATTGGTTGCACCGACAGCTGTCATAGAGAAAAAGCCAAATTCCCATTCTCCCGCTAGCACAACACGCTCGTTGTAGTTAAACAAGCCCGATATCCAGCGTGCTATTCTTGGATTCACGCTCATCAGCTCACCTGAAACAAACATGCAAGCTGTAGCAGGTGTGCATTGATGAATGGTTACAAGCTGTAGCAGGTGTGCATTGATGAATGGTTACAAGCTGTAGCAGGTGTGCATTGATGAATGGTTACAAGTTTGATGTGAAACAGACACCAGCCTAACTGTGTGAAACATTCATGAACTCCACAGTAAATAAACTAGTTTAGACTATTAATGCATAATATTTGAAATCGCAAAATGATATCAACTAGGAATGATTCCCAGAATAACGACAACTCCAAATAGATGCAGTCCTAACTTTTACATCTCAACATTAGGTGTCTTCCTACAACCTTGGCCAACCACAATTATATTAATTTTTGAAAACTTGAACAAGTCAACGCAATCAAACACCTGATAAAATAAATATTGATGATAAAAATGTAATATGAAGGGGTATCAGGACAAGTCCCCCTCGTAAAATCACTCCTCAACAATCACTTCCAGGACAATAACCCCCTGACAATAACCTCTTTCCCCAGACAATAAACCCCCAGGAAATATGTTTTCTTAACATAAAGAATATAGCTGATTTATCTTATTTCCGCATATTTAACCTTTATTTTTTCCAGAATAATAACGAATACATATATATATATATATATATATATATATATATATATATATATATAGATATATATATATATATATATATATAAAGGGTGAAAAATTAACGCGTTATTGGTCAATTAAGGGCCGAGTTATAGAGTGGAAGGGAAATATGATCAAGGTCCAGGTCAAGGTCAAATAAAAGCCGCAGTGACCTTGTTTTGGTAAGCAACACACATTATCCCCAAGATGTGTAAGTATACCAAGTTTGGTAGCGCTAGGTCAATTAGGGGTCGAGTTATAGAGCGGAAGGGAAATATAATCAAGGTCAAGGTAAAGGTCAAATAAAGGTCATAGTGACCTGGTTTTGGTACGTGACACACCTTCTCCCCAAGATGTGTAAGTATACCAAGTTTGGTAGCGCTAGGTCAATTAGCGGCCGAATTATAGAGCGAAAGGGAAATATGATCAAGGTCAAGGTAAAGGTCAAATAAATGTCGTAGTGACCTGGTTTTGATAGCGCTATGTCAATTAGGGGCCGAGTTAGAGAGCGGAAAGAAAATATGATCAAGGTCAAAGTAAAGGTCAAATAAAGGTCGCAGTGACCTGGTTTTGGTACGCTGCTCACCTTCTCCCCAAGATGTATAAGTATACCAAGTTTGGTAGTGCTAGGTCAATTAGGGGCCGAGTTAGAGAGCGGAAGGAAAATATGATCAAGGTCAAGGTAAAGGTCAAATAAAGGTCGTAGTGACCTGGTTTTGGTAGCACTAGGTCAATTAGGGGCCGAGTTAGAGAGCGGAAGGAAAATATGATCAAGGTCAAGGTAAAGGTCAAATAAAGGTCGCAGTGACCTGGTTTTGGTACTCTGCACACCTTCTCCCCAAAATGTGTAAGTATACCAAGTTTGGTCACGCTAGGTCAATTAGGGGTTGAGTTCTAGAGCGGAAGGGAAATTCTGTGTGGCGGACCGAGCGGCGGCGGCGGCGGCTGGGGAGACATGAAACCATAGTATCCCCGCCGACTTCGTCGCGGGGGATACAAATATATAGGTGTCATCAGCATATTGGAAGATATTATACTCTTCTTCCCACAATTTTATGATTTTCCCTAGCGAGGTCAGATTTCTAGATTTCCAAATATTTAGCAAGCATTTTATAGTTTAATTTTGGAAGCAAATTTTCAGTGATCATTTGACTTTGATCTGTATTAAAAGTCACACCTAATGCTGTAAACTTCCCAGCCGTGATCCACTCTGGGCAATTTTCTCTGCAAAAGCACCTATCAGAACCCTCCATTGACCCAATCCATAATATTTTAGTTTTTCCTATATTTGTCTTATGCTAGGGGCACACGAGCGATTTTTATCGCCCGATCGCGGCGATTAAAATCGCCAGCGAATTTAATCGCCCGATCACGAAGGGGCACACGTAGCGAATTTAATCGCTCGATCACGAAGGGGCACACGTAGCGAATTTAATCGCCCGATCACGAAGGGGCACACGTAGCGAATTTAATCGCCCGATCACGAAGGGGCACACGTAGCGAATTTAATCGCCCGATCACGAAGGGGCACACGTAGCGAATTTGAGAATGAGAGCGTACGCGTACGCCACTCGACAGAATTTTCCATCGATCATGTGATCGGTACAAAATGGCGAACCGCCGAAAAAAGGTTGTTGCTGTTGTTAGTGCTGTTTATTTGCTTCTAAAAAGAAACAAAATACGGAGAAGGGCTCGTTGGGCGAATCGAAATTCGTGGTCCAGGAGTTGGATAATGCGCCGGAAAGGTAAAGGGGTCTACTCGAATTTAGTAAAAGAACTGGAAACATTCATTGCAAGTCTCAGCACTATTTCTGTAATAGCGACCTCCTTCGCTACACGATCCCGGTATTCAGGGATCGTAATGTCAAAAAGGCATGGCCTTTCCGACCACAGAAATACCAATTCGCCTTCCTTTTCGCGAGTCCACACTTCTACAGTATTGGAGACAGCCATTTTAACATCACATGATATCAACAACACGTCCGATTGGTTTAGAAAAATCGATCGGGCGACAAAATACGCCGGTCACGGGCACACGAGCGATAATAATCGCCCGGCGTAAATAATCGCCCGAAAATATCTAACATTTTGGATACGGGCGATTCGATCGGGCGATTAAAATCGGCGTCGACGTGAACGGGCACACAGGAGAATTTTTCGAGCGATTTTAGAATTCGCGGCGATCGGGCGATAAAAATCGCTCGTGTGCCCCTACCTTAAAGCCCCGTTATGTTTTGGAACCATTTCAAAATATTATAAGCTTCTTTCATTGATTGCTCTCTTCCGTCTAAAAATAAATAGGTGTCATCAGCATATTGGGAGATATTATACTCTTCTTCCCACAATTTTATACGTTTAAGTTCTTTATTATATCTGACGGCTGCTCCTAGTAATTCTACACATAATATAAATATATATGGCGAAATTGGATCCCCCCGTCTACAACCTCTTTCCAGGCTAAACGAAGTAGAAAACTGTCCATTTGAAATTATACTAGATTCTGAATTTTGTTGAAAGACTCTAACCCATTTTTAATTGATCTCCAAAGTTAAAAATATACCGTCATGATACCGTGTCAAAAGCCTTTTCAAAATCGATCATCATTATCATTCCTGGCATTTTTTGTGCCTTTGTTTCAAATATAATATCATATATTATTCTGGTGTTTTCTCCAGTAAAGCGACCCCGAATTCAAACCTATTTGAAACATCTACTGTAAGTACTTACTGTAACATATCCATGACTAACTGACACAACTAAATTGCTAAAATGTTCTATGCACCTTGAGAAATTGTGAGAAATTACGAGGTTACCATCGCACTTTCATGCAAAACGCATGTACAATGTGTATTGCATGCCGTTACTAAGCTAAGTGTCAACAAAAGCGCGCTTAAATGCAAGGTGTGTAGCGAGGGGAAAAGGGCTATTTTCGGTTGCGCGGCAAATTCAACACAATAATAATAAACTAAATTATGTGGGTGATTGTCTAGAGGGGTAATTGCCTGGGGAGTGATTGTACAAGGGTAACTCTTGGAGGTAATTGGGAGAATTTCCTGGAGAGGGTAATTGTCTTAGGAGGGGGGGGGGTAAATGTCCAGGGGTATTTGTTCTAGGACCAATGAATCATATATATACTTATGTATATATATATATATATATATATCACAGATGTACATGCACCTACCAGGAAAGTGTCTTCTGTAGGCAACATCCCATGACGCAGGTGAGTGGAAGGCGTGGTAGTCGCCTGGCGCCAGGTATATGACACAATGGTAAAGTGCTGTGTTAGACGTGCTGCAGTGGCACAGTGAGCGCTGGTACGCATGGTCCTTCCCCTGCTCGTCGCTGCCTGTCTCAGCCTTTGACTGCAGCCCATCCGTTTCGCTACTGAAACTCTCAAGCAGGTGCACTTCACTTCTCTCCGTGGTGACAGTTGCAAGGTTTGCCGGCGCGCTTTCACATCTGTGCAGCTCGTATGACGATGCTGTGCTTTGCCCGTCTATGCAACGCGAGTCTCGCCTGTCGCCCGATGGTCTCATCCACGTTGCCGGTCCCAGAAACTCCTTCAGTGAATAGGTGACGCCCTTCACTTGCTCTACTTTACCAGGCATGTCGACCTTACCCAGGTGCAATATCCTGCCATCGGCCGGGCACACCTAGGAAACACGAGCATCTATTGCATACATACAGGTGGTTAATGAATCAGATCTATCACACCTGAATACGAGTTCAGGTACATAGTTAAGATATTCCCACATCTACGTATAGTAAGATCTGTAAAACCAAGGTCTAATGATTGACACTAAGACAGAGAAATATCTCCCACACATAGAAAATGGAAAGCATAACTTTTTAAGAATCCAGGTGAGAATAGCGACGTATTGCCTTCTAGGTGGGTAGGTGAAGGGGTCAGATGCTTTGAGACGCATTTGGTGTCATTTTCAGTTAACCATTTACAGTCACCTCAGTTTGGGATTAGAATATGGATAACTTATCTCATTTAGTTTATGTTAACAGTCTATATGTAATTAGCACAGTAAATAACTGCATTCCTGTAACCCTGTCATTTATCAGTCACATGACTCACGCAAACAGTCTGGAATTCTTAACACTTCGAAAATAAATGTTTCTGTTATATTTCCTTTGCTTGCATGTTTGGGTACTTCATTCACTTCAAGGTTTTGTTATCATTTTCAAAATGGCAAGAGGGATAAAATGTACGATCGAGATGAGGGTCAAAAGTAGCTTTCTTTGTACTCAATAAACAAAACTAAGGATATTCTTAACCCTCTTTATCTATATCTGCTTAGAGCTAGAAATATATAGACCTTGTATTGCATCAAAGACGTCAGAAAATTTAGCTTATATTTGTTTACCTTATAATCTGGACAATTACTATCAGTTATGGTTTACACAGAATTGTCTTTAACGGTGACCTAACCTCTAAGGTCAGGGTCAGCAATGTCTCGCGCTTCTCACGACCCAGCCACCATACCCGAACAACCAATGCACATTGCTCAAACTTCACCTCGGCACCGACAGCAAATGCCATGGTTGCCCTCCTTACTTGACTTGGTGCCAAATATTAGATGATATCCACAGGTAGAAACTGTAGTGGCTGCACTACCAGGTATGCCTCCATACCCTTCCAATAAATCTCAATGTATGCATCCCTCTTTGCCCCACATGAACGTTAAAAATTAAGTGGCCTCGACAATGCTAATTTGAAGAAAATGTTTGCATTGGTATCCTCCAACTTGCCATTGTGCCATAACATACTAAAGGTAATTCTTGCCATTGTGCCATAACATAGTAAAGGTAATTCTTGCCGGGCCCTAAAAATCCAACTAAAACACTGTAAAACCCTACAGACACATTTTGCAAGCTTACAATTGGGTGCTTCTGATCAATTGGTCGTGCAGAAACTTTCAACTTTCTCCGGAAGAACTCGCCCAGGTTCTTGTAGTGCTGCAAGTCTTGGATGGCCGCCTCCTCAATCTTGCAGTCGAACGCCTTGCTGTAGGCCATGTATATGGGTGATCTCAGCCACGTGGGAAGGTCAAGGCTGTTCACCTTCCCCCACAGCCTCGACATACCCCGGAGAGGTATCATCCTGTACACCATCACCTACAGGGTCAAGAATTGCTCTTCAGTGACGTACTGCAATCAAATTAGCTTCTGAAGTTTGACTGTATGTGTATCTGACAAGAATTTTTCACTTTGAAAATGAATTAATCTAATTAAAAAAGACAGTATATTCAAGCATGTGAGGCATATTTCAACTCTAGTTATAGTATCTTTTGCCACTTGTTTGGCACTTACATACTAGACACTACTAGTTCATGTCAGATTTGGAATATAAACACGCATTTAGTTGATAAACCTCGCAGCTAAACGCATATATATATACCTACTGTGAGGTTTCATATGTTGAAAAAATTCACTACAACTCAATTGTATTGCTACTTTCATAACATTTCTTCTCAAAATCGAAATAGAAATTTTTTCTCTTACGAACGTAGCACCACAGTGATGTTTACACATCCGGGACACAGTAGAGCGATCGGCTCGATTCATTAACAGTTCCTTTCTATGATCAAACAAGTTATAATTCATTATTCGACGTTTATTGAGTACAAAATTTTGAAATTTGTTTAAATCATATCGTTATCTATATATTACTTATGGAATCAGGAAATAAATATAGTGTTTTCGTTCCAGGAACTATTTGCGCTAGGGTAGGGCTACTGCTAGCTGTGCAACAAAACCACATCCGACAGTTTTCAAAACAGTCACCTTTGGAGCACATTTCTGGCTCAATGAGAACTTTTCGTGATGTTTGCACACTGCAAGTATGCTCACAATAGGTCTATACGAGCTTTTTGTTGTGAGGTTTATATAAATCCGTTTTAAAGCATTCTTGTGTAATGGTAAAATGCTAGAGAAGCACAATTAAAAAATTACTAATTAATTTCCTGGTAAAACATTTGATTTTAAGTAATAACATCAAGCTGTATTACCACATGTTAATAGAAATCTTGATTAAACAGATATGACATAGTCCACGACAGGGCATAAATAGGTGTATGTCAGCAAATAACAAAATAACAGCTGACACATCACATTTTAGTGTATTGTCAGCAACTTTACAGCTATACAAAGTGCTTTGGCTAAAAACCAACAAGTATTTCATCAGCATGTCAGAGGCTAATCTAGCTATCTATCTATATGTGGGCACGCATGGCAAGCATAGCGAGCGTAAAAAAATTATATATATATACTTATCTTTCACATTAAATTGGGCTTTTGGTTGACACATTTTATTCAGATATCTATAATATAGATCGTATATGAGCATTTTGTTATAAAACAGTGCCTATATAACGATAGAAACAGGGAGATCTGCATCAGAGCTCTCCTAATTTGGGCGTTTTATGAATTTTGTAATCTGGGCGTTTTGCTAGGGGTCGTAATTTGGGCGCCGGTATTCGGTATGAAAAATGGCCAGGATTAGGCCCTGCATGTGTATAAATAAATTATTGTTTTTGTTTTACCTGCCAGTCCCTAGCAAGGTCTATACTCTCGCCTAGCACCCGTTTCTCCCTCTTCCTGATATGGCCAAACTGCTGATAGCAGATATAGGCAAAACCGACTCCCATTGGAATCGGCACCCACTTCAACGAGCGCAGGTATCGAGCTAGCATGTTGGTACTCTGCCCCTGTCCTTGCTTTCCTCCTGAAACAACAAGTGCTGGTGTTATAATTAACCAGGTACTATGGACAATGGCCAAGAATGAACAAACTGACTTTCATACGGTATCAACAACAGAAGCAGGAATGGAATTTTCAACAACACAACGTCAAATTCCATAATATAACATACATGGATTTTTCTTCATCATTATTGCCACTCTTGTCTTTAATCTTCTACTTCACCTGGGAAGGGTATTGTACTATGTATGCCGAGATTTATGTAAAGTTATGATATAACCAGGCTGACAAATCACTACCATGAGTTACAGGATGCGATGCTAGTTGCTATCCTAGTTGCTAACATCTGTCACCTCAAAACGGCACGTTTCCGCAGCAAAATGCATAGATATGTACCTACTGTGAGCTCGTCTATGTTGCAAAAATTCACTACACCTCATTTGTATTGCTACGAGTTCTCATAACATTTCTTCAGCAAACCTAAACAGTCTTAAAAAACTAGTACTTTCAATGTGTACACCTGTAGTGTTTACACATCCGGGACATAGCCGAGCGATCGGAGTTTTCATAAAACAGTTATTTTCTATGATAAAAAGTTATAATTCATTATTCGATGTTTGTTCAGTACAAATTTGTGAAATTTGTTTAAATCATATGTTATCTACATTACTTATGCAATCAGCAAACTAATATAGTGTTTTTTTTCTCCAGAAAATATTTGCGCTAGCATAAGCCTACTGTTAGAGTTCTGAGTCACATCGCTCTATGTGTATCTGTATGCCAAAACTCTGTCCAACGGAGTTTCTAAATAGCATAAAAATATCCAACTTCAAAGCACATTTCTGGCTCAAAAGAACATTTCGTGAAGTTTGCATACTGCAATTACACTCACAGTAGGTGTATGTAGGGGTTTTGTTGCGAGCTTTATCCATTTTAATAGATCCAGGTACTCAGCAGCATTCTATGTCATTCACATTAAAAAGACTCTAACTAGATGTTTTTCTTTTAGGCACCTAATTTAACTTAAGGCACTATATACTTCACCTATATGGATTGGCATCTTAAACTCGGCAATTTCCAGACAACGATAATGACAACAACAACTAGCTTAATTGCATGGGAAAATTTCATGCCTCTTCGTTCTCACGTGCCATACTCTCACTCACCAGTGCCTCCGCCATACCAACGTCTGTGTGTCATGCAGCCAGTAATGTTCCATGGCCTTAGCATCTCTCTGCGTGCCCAGTGACTCATGTGCTGAGATGACCATTGGAGCAAAACCGTCGTCGTTGATATAGTCGAGAGTGGTAGCCTGTGTGTAAAAACTCTATCAACACATGAAGTTGTGTATAAGAAGCAGGCTTGGGATGGGTACAGTTGTATGGGGGGCCAAATATCCATGGCGCTATTAACTTCTGTCCACGTGGCAGTCGCTAGAGCTGTGCGCACAGTTTAATTTCCATAGCAGCTGGAAGACATTCTGCGAAAACCATCTGGTTAACACACTCCAGGAGTAGAAATTAACTTTTGAACAAGGGAGTCCAACGGACTCCCTGCCCTCAAAAAGAGGGGGATCGCAGCAAAATGAGGGAGTCTGCAATCTGAAGTTCAAAACTAAAGATATTAACAAACACACATGTGTTTATTTTGAAGATTCATGCGATTGCACGTCTGCCCAATTTTCTTTGGACATTTGCTGAAAAAATTCGGTAATTTTCGCGAGGCTGTGCTCTTGAACGAACTAGTTAGTATCTAGCAGAATTTTCAGGGAGTCACACGGACTCCTGCATATGTCAAATCAGGGAGTCCGACAGTAAATCGGGGAGTATTTGACACCGGACTCGCGTTAATTTCACACAATTACCCTCCTCTTAAAGCCAGGATTTCGAAAATAATTTCCAACCAGTCCTGTGTTTCCCACACTTTTACAATACTTACCCAGTCCTTGTGTTTGGAAAAGGCAGGCGAGTGAAAAATCGCACACCTT